AAACAATTTCCAATGAATGAACGATTGATTTCATTCAAAAGTTCATCGCTCAGCAATGTTATTTACAGAATATCGAAACGATTTTATTGTCGTCAACAGCGTTCTGAAAGCGTTACATTACGGATATGCTGATGGAAGTGTGAAATAAAGAATCCAGAAGAGAAATGTTACTGCATGTTGAGCGATTCCAACAGTGAAACTTCGCAAGAAACTGACTGTTTATCGTCAGAGACACAAAAAAGCGCATATTATATGTAATGGGAAAGCATACAATTAACAAAAATGAACAATTTGACTCTAATCGTGGAACAAAAACTAAAAATCATAATTTCAATGATTTGATTGCACGTGCAAAGTGCTTGCAAGACAATTTATATTACAATTTAAGAAGGCATACTGACGAAAACTATGGCTATTCAAGAGGGATGAAGAAGAGTGTCGGTTGGTATTGAAACGAGATGAATGTGATGGTGATAAATGTGATCGTAAAGTTTGTTGTGAAATAGAACATTGATGAGAGATTGTGTAATAAATGCGAAACAAGTGCAACTTGGTTGGAGGCAATTATTAGATTCGTTCAAATGTTAACGCATTGGAAAACGATCGAAAATATAATTAATGCGAAAATTTTCGATGTAAACGTGAAAATTATCAATAATTATGCAAGAAGTAGGTATGCAAAGAAAATCAATGAAACGATCCACAAACCCATCTCAAAACATTCACTATCAGACAAACTTCTTGAATCAGCGTACAGAAGTAACCAAAAGAGATAAATGATAATCAATAGCAGATCGCCGACTGACCTNCCCGAATCCAGTGATTCAGAACGACACGATATCGAACGTGGATCATCCGTACGAATACGATCAGCGGTATCAGATGCTAACGGTTCAACACTCATCATTGAACATCACAACGTCAACGATGCTAGCAGCAGCAGTACTAATAAACCTTCTTCTAAAGTGAACAAGCAATGACCGTCGTCTACAGATCGCAACTGCACCGTATAAATAATATCCAACTATATAAACAGTGCAATAACAGCACAGCATTATTCACTTCGAATCACGCCCACAAAATTGTATTTATTATTGTATTTCGTCCATCAGATCCATCCATCTATAGTTGTCTTGAGCAAATTTCGTATAGTAACCGACCCGATGTGAAAAAGTGAATGCGAAATGAAAAAAAAGTGGGAAAATACAAATTCGAACGCACGCCATAACCGAAAAGAAACCTGTTCGGCTAGAAATCTACCAGTCTTCTCGAAGAAGAATGGCTATTTGAAAAAATGCTCTGGCCTAAGAAACAATGAAACTTTGATAAACGACATTTATACG